CATGCCCTTGGTGACCATGTCCCAGGCGGCCCAGAGGGCTTGCCAGTCGGAGAGGGAGGGGAGGGTGTTGGCGGCGTAGAGGGAGGGGGCTTTGCTGAAGGGGAGCGTTGCTCTTTGAAGCATGTGGAGGCCTGGGGGATTGGGGGGGGAATAGAGTCGTCTTGTTAGAAGGGAGACTGTACGGGAAGAAGTCGGCATGGAAACGGGTTGAGGGTGATGATACATACCGTACTCGTCGTTTCGAGTCCAGGTTTCAACATTTCGAAGACCGGCGTGTCTCCAGAGATTATCCGCGCCCATCTTCGAGTACTTGAGGCTCTGCTCAATTTGGATACGTTCATGAGGCTTCACCACGGACCCCAGGACAGTAACTTCTTTGAGGGGAGAGATGAAGGCCTGATGACGGCCGCCTTCCTCGTCGTAAACGTATTCGCCGATGACGCGCCAGTCGGGGACGTGGAAGATCTCCCCGCCGAAGATGTTGTTGGCATTGGCAAGGCCGTTGAGGACGAATCTAACAATTGTGAGACATGCCTTGACAAAACGGGTGGTCATGGCGAAATCGTCTTACTCATGCGTTACGCCTTTGCTGTCTGGTCATCGCTAGGTTAACAGACAGTTCCAAGCAGCTGAGAGTAGTAGTCGTCTCACCGTTATACGCGTGACTACAAGTTCGTCAGTAAAGCGTGTCCCATCAGCCAGGCCTGTCATCTTTTCTGTGCACATACTAGACCATGTCGGGATTCCCGCACGAGTCCAAACCAACAATCATGCTGTCATTCGGCCTCAGGATATCTGCGTAGGATTGCAGAAACTCGGCAGCCTCGTCTCGATGGAAGTTGCCTATGAACGAGTCACGTAAGTCGACCTGGTGCAACTCGGAATATCCCAGAGCCGTGTTCAAGGGGAACGGAAATAAATTAAGTGAGAAAAATGGGAGATTGCCACGGGAATAAATCAAGGGGTTGCAAACTCACCGATGCTCGAACCCAAATGGAGGATGCATTTCGACCTGTCCACAATGGCAGGCTGCTTCAACCACGCCACCCCGTCTTCGTAGGTACCCAGAAGACCATGGCAGGATACATACTCAAAATCAGGAACATGCGAGAGAGTACGCTCCAGCTCCTCCCGCGACAGATCGAGTGCATAGTAGTCAATGGACTTGTGGGCATCCTCGAAGGCTTGAAGGAGGAGGCAGACTTTGCGGAGGTTTCTGCGCGCGTGTGAGTTGGACGTGTGCCATGATTATCGTCGTTGGTGCTCATGGGCCGAGGACGCGGAGAGGCTTTGAACTCTCACGGCAAGGAAAAAAGAGCACACCAGAGTCGAAGGGAGAAGTGCCGAGAATGTCGAAGAAAGAAAAGAAAATACCACACTCGTCATCGAATGCGGAAAAAAAAACCAATGCTGAAGCCAAACCAGGAAGAAAAAAACTTCAACAGATACTTACCCACTCCCCAATTCTACTAGCATAGCCCCGTCAGGTATTTTGGCCGCAATCTCGACAGAATGCTTCTTCAGCAGCTCGATTTCGTAGCCGGTCAAGTAGTATTCGTCTAGATAGGTGATCTGGTCAAGTGTATGAGTTGGAACGAAGCCTCCACGAGCAAAGAAGGTTAGAGGGGGGGGAAACACAACGGCAACAGAGCAAGGGAGAAGGGGACGATATTCCAACATGTCAAGTATGGAACTGCCGATTGGAGGAAGTTTCAAAGTGATGTGTCTCTTTCTTGGCTTGAACGCACATGCTCAAATAGCTGCAGTCCCCTCTCATCGTAAAGCAACAAGGTGGGCAGCCTGCGGGCTCCGCCGTCGGGGGGGTTAAAGGACGAGACTAGCTCATCTTTGAGGTTGAAGTCGACTTTGTTGCTGCGAATGTCGATAATATCATTTGCTTGGGCGCTGGGTCCGCGGGGTTTGGAGGGTGCGAATGACCTCGTCTGGACGCACTGCTTGGCGGCGGGCATTTTGAAGAGGCAACTGGGAGGACTCGTTGGAGATTTCTACAGAGTTGTTTCCGGTTGTCTGTTTGCTGTTCCCGTTTCCTTTTTTTTTCTTTCTCTTTTTTTCTTATTTGGGGCAGGGTTAGTTGAGAACGCAGATGATTGATTGAAAGAGTCGAATCGTCGTCGAATCGTCGAATCGTAAGGAACAGGGACAGGGACAGGAACAGGGACAGTGGAAAGAACTCACGTGCCAGCCCAGCCAGTCAAGTCAGATGCAATTGTTGGGGTGGGAGAAAAAGTGGGATGGAATAGGATGGATGGAACGGACGGGATGGACGGGATGGACGGGATGGACGGGATGGACGAGATGGATGAGATGGATGGGAACATGACGCATTCTCACTTCTCTCACTCTCGCAAGTTGGTCTGGTACCTGTCGCCCGTTTCGGCAGACGGCTCCAGAACCAATGAGCCATTTTCAGTTCACGCCTTTTATTATTCTCCCCAAGACAGGACCAATGAGTGAGCAGATGTACGGACGTTCCTGCCGTTGGAAATATTCCGTACTCGTCCCACCACGCTTGGCGGCGGAAAACGTCAGGCATACGGATTATGTAATAAATAAAGGCACGCGATGGGCGGGGAAGGAAAGGGGGGTCCACAATTCTGGGCTACGCAGACGTCATGATGCAAGTCATCTCTGCGAATCGGCTTTGTTTATGTATGCTCTCACGATGCTCTCACGATGCTCTCGTCAATGGTGAACATGTTCCGACCGTTGCCGTTGCCGCACAACGGCTTTGGTCTGCTCATTGCTTTTGCTTCATCCGGTCTTGGAGATGGGCCTGGAGATTGCCCTGCCGTCACTGTCACCGGCACCGACACGGGGAATGGCATCATTGTACAGCTGCGTTTCGTGCTCCCCCGTCTTTCCTGCCGTGCATCTGCCGTGCATCTGCCGTGCATCTGCCGTGCCAGCGCTTCCAAGATTGGGTCCTTCTGCTCACCGGCCTCCTGGATCGTCGATCAAGACACGGCATCTTGCTTTTTTCCCCGACAATGGGACCCTGCCGAGTCTGCTTCGATGAAGAACTGCGCGGGCAGAGAAGCCGGCATCTCGACGCCAGCCCTTCTCCAATCTTCCATCTGAATGGCCAGGTTGAGGCCCCGCACAGCTTCCTGGTCGAAGCGCTCCAAGTCGGTGCGACCAAATCGCTTGATGCTCAGTCGAAGTCCACGGCTCTCTGTCTGATGTCGTCGTGACGTCGTCTCACCAGACCACGTCCACTTGTGCAACACGTACATAAACATGCAGTAGTGATTTTTCAATCATGCAGTAGTAACTAGGCCTAAAACGGCAAAGGTACCCGCGCCCGCAAATTTATTAGGGGAGTGACCTCCTGTAAGTTATGCATTTCATACTATTTTATTAAATATGCACACGAGAGGGAAAACGCGTTTTTAGGCTTCTTTGAAGATATAGAGCTTCTGTTGTAGCTAATTCCACTGAGCGGACTACACCTATCACTGTAGCTAGTTCCTATGCCCCAATTTACTTATATAAATTATAGGAGGTCACTACTCTTATAAATTTATGTGAAAAGATACTTCTTCCATTTTAGGACTAGTCACTACTGCATGTTTATGTACATACGTGTTGCCACTTGTGTGCTGCCCCTGTCGAAAGTCCTTTTGGCTAAAGGCCGCGTGGATACTCGATTGACCTCTCACAATGAAGTAAGAGAATAAAGTATCCATATCTTTTCGGTATCTTCCGTCATTTCCCGAAATGTTTCTTGGAAAGGCACTTAATGTGTATTTCGGGCATGCGAGCCACACAGCCTCTAGCCGTATGTGATATTGGAATAGTCTTCAAGGAGAGATTGTTGAGATCAATTCAACAAATAGGCTCCTCAAAAGTTCTACGCGCCGACGCCGACTGTTCCGCCACTCACTCCTTTTGAAGGGGTCGCCATGCATGTCAGCCGCGTAAGCAAGAATGTCCGGGGACACTCCTAGTCATGTCAAAATATCAGATGAGCTTGAGAGCTCCAAAAAGGATAACCACCCAACTTTGCCCAATGTGTTCTATTGTGAAGGATAAGGACAGGAGTTGACTTCCGTATTCTTGCTGTGACACTCGGAATACCCAAGCTAGCTATACCGGGGGCAGGAGAGAGCGCCCCTTGTGCCCTTCATGCCCAGGACCGACAATGACCGCGCTCACTCGCCACATGTGAGTGAAATCCCGGATTAACGTCCGAGAGCATCCACCGTACCAGAAGAAGCTAAACAGACGACAAGAATTGTCCTCGAGGCGGCAGAAGCGATGAGTGACATTGCGTTGCAAGTCGGCTGTCTCCAGCAGCTGCTAGACCAGGGATCTGAAGACCCATCAGTAGGCGTTAAGCGCATCAGCGATATATAGACGTCAGGCCGTATCATGGCTCCGTACGGAGGCCTTCAGCTTTCCGCTTCATGCTCGTCAAGACGGAAGTCACCGTTGTCGAGCGAACTAAACTTGCAAAATTGCCAAAAATAAGAAAATTGACGTCTCAAAACGCAGGGAGAGGAACAAAGCGACGGAGGCAGAAATAGACGCGGAGATGACGAAGCTCAAGGGCGAGTTGGAGGCCCATAAACAGGCGAGGAACGCCGCGGCCAGCAAGGAAGAAGAGCAAGATGGACAGAACAGCTCCTATGGATAGAAGTCAAGCAGAAAGACAAACGCGGCGTGGTGGCGGAAAATGGGATTGGAAGCGACATTGATGTCTGTGAGTGATGAGACCACGGAATCTTTTTCAAGAAATCTTGAGGCAAAGAAAGAAGCAAGTTGAGCTTGTGATGAAAACTACAATGCCTCTCCTCGCGAACGGGGATGTCAACCGAATTCGCCATCTCAACCAAAATTTCACAGCCTTGCAAAAGTACTGGTGCAACGTAAGAGTCCATGTGTAGATGCGGACGCGGTCAGTGAATGAAGGATATAAAACAGAGTACTCCGTAGACCCCTCGAGATTGGCAAAAAAGACCGAGTAAGGTCGCAGCGCGTGGACAAACGGGGAATCGAACCCCGGACCACTCCCATGTTAGGACTCAGATGGAGAATCTTGCTAAGGGAGTATTATACCACTAAACCATTCGCCCATAGCTTGATATCAACGTCGTGTGACCTTAGGTATATATTGGAAAATCTAAAAATATGGCCTTGGATAATAACGCAAATGATGTGGTGGATGATAAGGCAATATTAGAGACAGAATCAGTAACGTGAAGTGGATGAAGACTTTACCCCGCCAATTCAGAATCAGGGGAGACACCAGACAGCCGCCTTTGACATTGGAAGGAGCGATGCCGTGGCAGAAGCTTGAATTCTGGTGCCACAGGCAAGATGATGGGCCCAGAGTCCCGGCGCTTGCGTGGCCAACCATGACTGAGACAGTGAATGATGGTTTAATTTATCGCCATGGCTGGACTTGCATTTTTGTTTTTTGTTTCATCACCGCGGACACGACACTGTGAACGTCTTTCTCATCCAACACCAAAGGAGTCGAGTATTCTTTCAACAGTCTGAAGTGTCTGGGGCCTTGCGCGCAAGAGGCCGCCCGTGCCAAGAAGGTCTGAACTTCCCCTGTTTGTGTCGTCATAGCCGCCGCGTGCTGCCCCGCGCTTCCCAATATCCACCCCGCGACAACTCCCTCCGTACTCCGTACACGCAACCATTGACGGAAAGGCCTCTTCTCCCACTGCATATCGCTCATCGTGGACTCGCGAAGAACACACCGTCTTCATCATGGCTTGCGGGAACAATGTAAGCACAACTCCAAAGCGTCGCATTCCTTCCCCATTGCTCAAAGACTTTCCAATGTAGGATCCGAAGCTTCTCTACGCCGTCGAGGGCATCAAGGCCTACCATGTCGCGCAAGGCAACGAACAATCCCTCACCCCTTCCGGGCCCCAGACTTTGTCGCTGCTCATGGTTCCAACATCCTCCGGCTTTGCTGACCCATCCGGCATCGGATCCGGTGAAGAGGACTTTTATTTACATCTCCATTTGCCACCCGAGCTTGACCTGCCTCTTCCGGCCACTACACAAATCTACCATCAGCCCCCAACGAGCTATTTGATTCCTCGGTGGGATCTCGGCCCCGACAGCGGCGCCTTTACACGGATCGAGTTTCCTGCTGCGGGAAGTCGCTCTGGTATTCAGGAAGACGTAGATACCTTTGAGACGATTCTCGCGCAATGTACGGCGTTCCTGGAACGCGCACCGCCACCCAAGCCCAAAAGAAGCAAGACGGCGCCAGTTTCGGGGGCTTCTGCCAAGGCAAGAGAGGCATGCGGCGAAGAGCTGCCTGCGTATGACCCCGGTTCCTTCAACACAGGTGAAGGCTATGTCCAGGGCAGCGTGAGCTCAACCTCCAAGGGCGGCCGCATCGTTCTGGTGGACGAGGAAGACGGTAGCGTCATTGGTGAGCTCGGTGACGGATACCAGGTTGTAGAGGATTCGGCCATTAAACCCGGAGCCAAAGGTACGTTGTCAGCCGACTCGTGTTTGATGTCATTTGGACCCCCGTGCGATTGCGAGTGATGTCAGCTAAGCCTGTTGCGTCCCAGATCCTGTCGAAATTGCACTGCCTACCGATGCCTCGCAGGCTATAAGCGTCCAGCCCGCTGCAGAGTACGACGACGAGGGAGACATGATGCACCCCGCCTACAAGAAGTCGACCATTGTCAACATGGGGTTGAGAGCGTCTCGCCTCCTCATCACGACGTCGGATTATGTCGCTCACGCCCTCAACAACCAGGCTGAAAGTTACGCCAAGAACAGCCAGCCCAACGCCAAACCTGTTACTTTCACGCCCACGACTCACGAGCGCATCCGCAAGATGAACCAATTTTCCACCAAAGCCGCCAGTCTCTCAGCTTCGACCGTTGGCTCAATCGCCAAGGTTGCGCAAAACTTTGGTGCCAATCTGTCCAAGCGAAAAGACGGGCGTGCGCGAGGGTACGACAAGGACGGCAATGTGATTGACACTTACAAGCCAGGAATGCTCAACAAGAGTTTAATGGCTTTCAATACTGTAGTCGACGGCATGGAACAAGCCGGGCGCTGCTTGCTTACCAGCACCTCGTCCAGCGTCAGCCAGGTCGTCGAGCACAAATGGGGTCCCGAAGCTGGCGAGGTTTCTCGCAACCTGGGTGGCGGGGTCAAGAACGTTGGCCTAGTTTACATTGATGTCACTGGCGTGTCCCGACGCGCCGTCCTGAAGAGCGTGGCCAAGGGGATGGTGGTTGGAAATGTCAAGGGTGGCGGCAAGGTCATTGTTGGTGGGGGAGAAAAGCAAGGAGAAAAGCAAGGGGGCTCCGTGGCTGAGGGCACTGGAAATGGCAAAGGCAAGAAGGCCTATAATGAAATGTAGATGAAATACAGAGCGTGACGAACAGAGAGTAAGGCATACGACCCTAGGCAGACATGAGGTTCGGCTCGCAGTACATAATTGCGGATAGCCCTAGTAAAATAAATGGGCGATGATAAAGCGCGCGAGTATCTTGGAAAGTGTGGATCAGATCACGTGTGAACGTGCACCCCCCTCCGGTCACGTCACGTCACGTCACGTCACGTCACGTCAACGTTGCTGCAAATAGGCTCCAATAAGAAATTCAACGACAACTTGATAATTTGACTTTGACCACGCAAAGAACCTCGGAACCTCGCGCAGAACAACTCGAGTCAGCCTCCCTGCTCCTGTGGCCAGATGGCCAGCGACTGTGGTTCTGTAAAGATTTTTGCCCTATACTTTGACAGCTTGAACCTCGAAAACGTACACATTGTGCCCGGCCTCGCTAGCTCCATGTGTCGATTCGAGCTGCTCGGGGTCATCATTCTTATTTTCCACGACATACGAGACGCGATCAAGCGCAAAAGGGCCCGCAAACTGCACTTTCAAGAACCTGGAACTGGTCAATCTTCTGTGAATCTTCTCTGATAGCCCAGTAGCACTCCCACGATGCTCCACGAAATCCTCCTGTCCCTCTCCGGCCACCCGTCACCTCTTCTACGCCCACCATCCTCACCCGAAGCAGACGCTCTCGCCGGGATAACGCCGCCCGAACGACAACTACTCTCCTCCGCAGGCCACATAAGCGACCTGCATACTAAGCTCATCGCCTATTCCTCTGAAATCGCCACGTCACATTCCAGCACCATCTGTCGAACTGTTGCAACCGCCATCAGCTCCGTCCATTTAGCCGCCTTTCAAAGAAAAGTCCTCGACGTGGAGGCGAGCATACTGAAGAACGATTCCGAGCTGGTCGGAGCGTATAGCATCGTGCCCTTGACGGCGGTCATGGGCGAGTTTCAGCAGTGGACGAGACGGCTCGAGTGGCTATGGGACACGGTCCGGTTCATCATGGCCACGAATGACGATGGCAGAGCTTGCCACGGCGCAGCGCTGATTGACCGATTACGTGACGAGCTGCAGAGCGGATACCAGGACGTTGCAGCAACAGCAGAGAGCTTGGTCAAAGCAGCAGAGACGGCGTGGCTGAAGCAGGTTTCCGCGTGGGTGCTGTACGGGAGACTGCCCAGCTTCGGGGCCGATGATTTCTTTGTACAGGCGACGCAAGGCCCCCCCGAAGACTTCGTCTGCATCGCGGAGTGCCTGCCATCCTTCGTCACGGGCTCAACGGCGTCATCCATGCTCTTCATTGGCAAATCACTCAACCACGTTCGCGCCATGAATACAAGCTCAACGTCTACCGGTGTAGCACATGTTGCGGCCAAGCTGTCTGAACTATCTACGCTCGCATTCCCCCTCGAAAGCTCCGACTTCTCCAAAGCCATCAAGGCTATCCGAATTTCCCTGTCCCAAAACACCCTTCAGCAGATGCTTCCCCTGGCCAAAGTTTCCGAAATGACGCAGCTGCTCCGAGAATTCTTCCTCCTTGGACGAGGCGAATTCGCCATGGCCTTGACGCAAGAGGCAGACGAGAAGATTCGCAACCGTTGGCGGAGGGCGGGGAATCTGGCATACGAGAAAGACCAGGGTCTGAAAAACCTCACTGTCAAAGATGGAGAAGTAGCTGCCGTTCTGAACAGGACGTGGGCGGTTCTCGTGTCCATGCAGGGCCAACACGCCGAAGAAGACGACCTGCTAGACCTGGCAAGGAGCTTGATACAACTACATCTCACCAAGTCCAGACCTCCTGCTTCTCTCGTCACCGGCAGAGGGCTGGACGTGGACGCGGCCAATCTGCTCGCCACATCGCCGTTCCGCAACATGCTCTTTTCTGTCCCAGCCATGCTGAGCATCGACCTCCCTTCCCCTCTCGACATGGTCATCTCGACGTCGGATCTACAGCTCTATTCTTTGATGAACGCCTATCTTCTCTCCCTCCGCCGCGCACACCTCCGCCTCACCGACCTCTGGAAGATCACCTCTCTCCGACGCCACTACCCTCCCCCCCGCGGCACCTCGGACCACGCCGTCACCCTCCGCGAGCGCTGGTCCGATCGCGCCTGGCTCCTCCGCAGCTCATGGACGACGGCCAGCGCAGCCATCTTCTTCCTCGGCGAAACAGAGGCCTACTTCCAGACCGAAATCGTCGCCGGTCTCTGGGACAATTTCCACAACTGGCTCCTCCCACCCAAGCGTCCTCGTCCCCATCGCCCGGGCCACGCCACGCCCACCCATACCAAACCACCGACTCCCGTTCCCACCTCGACTTCCACCCCAACCCCCATCGCCACTCATTCCCATGATCCGCAAACCATCTCCACAGCTCACATGCTTTACCTCCGGACTCTCATCCACCGTCTCCTCCTCACTCAACCATCCTTCACGGCGCCATTGTACGCCCTCGTCACGCACATAGACCACCTCGTAGCCCACCTACACCGTCTCCATTCCCTCTTCACATCTGTGGATCTCGAGCACGACGCAGGCGTCCTGGACACGTTGGTCGATCTGGACCGCGAGCAAGCCCAGGTCTTGACCTCCCTGCGCGGCGTGGAGCGACAAGTCAAGAGGGGCATAGAAGCAGCCGTCGAAGCGCTGCGGGTATTAGAATCAGATGCCAAGTTCCTTGCCGACTGGGACGGACAGGGCCTTGTCGATGAAGAAGACGGCGAAGAGAGGGCCTAC